ACTGGTCTATCCATTTGCTGTACAGAGTAACTTGTGGTTGCTGTGATGCTAAACACTGTGACACTGATGTGTCAAATGTGATAATGGTTACCCATGGCGGACAGTGTTTGGTGGAACTCTCCGATTAAAACAAGCTTGGAAGCAGGAGTGGCATCCACTTCCGAAATAGCTTGCCTCTGGAAATTCCATGAACGTGGAGAAATGATAAAAGTTATGCAAGTGTTAAGGTCTTTTGTTCAAAAGGTCACTATGAGTTGTCTACCAATGAAGGGCACTTAACAACAACGAGGAGGAAAATGTTAAAAACAAAAACACTCCAAAAGGAGCAATGACATTTTAGGAAAACTCCTTTAGTCACTTAGCTTAAATCACTATACAACACTCTACTGGTTCAAAATGTTTTTAAAATAAAGTCATTAAATCCTTTGCCTAATTTGCACGTTGTACAGTGAGTCACACAGTTTAAGCCTAAACACCAGCATCTTCAAATCACGCTTCAGCACTGTGATCATTTATATTTGTTAAGCTGTGTATCTGCTGGCATTCTCACCAGGAAGAAAAAGATGGCTATGATTTTTTTTTTTAATTTCACAGAAAGGGAGTGAATAATCAGTAACAGAGTCTGCTAAGTGTTCACTCCCTCATACCACACACACTTTATGAGCATCTACCACATGTCACTTCTCTGAGGGGAAGGACACAATATGGACAATACAAACACAGCGCATAAAGAAACATGAACATACCTCTGCCTCGATTTCCGCTTGTCTCTTCTCTAAGAGTTTGGCCACAGCCATGGCTCTGTGCTTGCCCGACCGCTTACAGCTCACAGCCCATTCACACAATAATGTTACCACTGCTTCATCGTTGGGAGCGACCTAGAGACCAAGAGAAATAAGCACCAGCCATACTAGAAGAATCTCTCACAAAATAAGTGCTTATAAAGTGTGCAGTGGCTTTATCTTCTCCACATATTTTAGGATATATATTTTAACAAGTGTTTCAAAAGACCTTTTAACCTAAAGACAATGTGTCAAAGCTTTAGTTCTAAGTAAAGAAATCACTTGCTCAGTATGGCTGAATCTGTGACTGTTTGAAAGGCCATGGAGTTCTCTGCCATAAACTCCCTGGCACAGATGTCATAACCTCGTCACGTCTATCCTCCAGGACTCAATTTCAAAAGAAAAAACAAAACACCCCCCCCCCAAAAAAATCACAAGAAGTACCCTGAACAGTTGTAACAAAATCCAGTTACTTCACTTCACAGTGGACACTCATGAGCCCTCACTCCCAGCCTCACTCAACTCACATTCCAATCAGGCTTAGCCATCAAATGATTGTGTCCAACTGGAAATTACAAAGAACTAGAGAGGTGGCTGACATTTTCACAAAAGGCCTATTAAGGAGAATATTCATTAAAAAATAATTATCAAGCACAAAATGATAAGCAGACACAATCCACAAAGGACAGCAGGCTAGTCTACGTAGGGCTCAGCTTTAGTTGTAATGGCTCACAAATATACAGAGAGGGCGAAACCAAGCTGCTCCTAAGAGGAATGATTTTGAGGCACATACTTTTGGCATGTTGCCAGGAGGGACCAGTCCCTGGAGAAGGACATAATGCTTGGACCAGTGAAGGGACAACGTAAAAGAGGAAGACTCTGAATGGCATGTATTGACACAATAAGTGGGATAATGGAGTCAGATGTGTTGGAAACAGTGAGACTGGCTCAGGACAGGGCAGGATTCAGAGCTATTGTGCATAGGATTGCTGAGGTGCAAGTGACTCAAAGGCATATAACAACAATGGCTAGTTCATCAAGTCCGTAATGTGCATTACAGTCAACTACAAAGAAAAAAAATCTTCCAACTTTTACCATGCATTTTAAAGTTCAAATAAACATGTGCTACAGAAATATAAACAGCTGATTTAAACTTTCAAAGACCAAAACTTTTCTCCACTTTGGCTACATGAGATTTCATATATAATCTAAAATGTTGAGACAGACAGTAGGTACCAAGGTTTTGTCTGTAATCAGTAACATCTCAACAACTGGATGGGAGAATATTTCTTCAGATTAATTGAATGAACTGCTACAAAATAAAATGTCAAAATACCACACATTATCATGACCCTTTCACAAATCAAATTAGTATTTCCAGTGCTCACATCATCTCTTTGGGAAAACATAAATTCACACAAATGCAATACAATCAATATCCTGGGAGCCAATGAATGGTTGCATGTGTGTGCACTATATGGAGGATCCCGAAAAGGCAGGAGAAAGAAATGCCCAATCTTAGTGGCTCTGAAAAGAATGAACATGGTAGAACTGCCTTTGAAAGACAGTTTCTTTGCTTACCAGAAGCACTTGAAATCATTTGGTTGTTCTTTGTTACCTCAATTTGCAAATCTCTCTTGTTTTTGTCAAGTACAACTCAAAATGACCCTATGAACCAAAGATCTGAACCCTGTTCTATCCAGTGCCATCCTCACACTTAGCAACACACAAGAGACTATTGTGGCAGTCACCATGTCAGTCCACCTGGTTGAGGGTCTTCCTCTTCTTTGCTGACCCTCCACCTTTCCCACATCATGTCCTCTCCAAGGAATAGCACCTCTTAGCAAAATGCCCAATGTAAGTGAGGAGCAGCCTCATCATTCTTGCCTCCAAGGAGCAGTCCAGAGACTCCAGGATATATCTGTCATCTTGTCTTGGCCGTCCAAGGGATGTTCAGTGCTCTTATCCAACACCACAGCTCAAAGGCGTCCATTTTTCTTTTGTCATCATTTTCTGTCCTGCTCTCAGATGCACAGCAAGTGATCGGAAAGACTATGGCCTGAATCAGATGCACCTTAGTCCTCAACCTGACATTACTCCTCAATAATTTGGAGAGGTCCTTAACTACAGGTTTTCTCAGTGCAATGTATTTATTTCCTGACTGCTCGTACCACTGGTGCTAACTGTGAATCCAACCAAGATGAAGCTGTTGATAGCTACAATCTCCTCTCCATTCATCATGATGTTGCCTATCAGTCCAGTGTTAAGAATCTTTGTTTTCTTGACATTGAGATGTAACCCATATGGAAGGCTGCATTTTTTTGATCTTCTACAAGTGCTTCGAGTTTTCCTTACTTACAGCAATAAAGTTTGTGTCATCTGAATAATGCAGATTATAGATGAGTCTCCCTCTAATCCTGATGCCACACTCCTCTTCACAGAGTCCAGCTTCTTGTAAAATTTGCCCAGCGTATAGATTGAAGAGGTATGGAGAGACAATATAACACCACTCAATTTTAAACAATGCAGTGCTCCCCTGCTCTTTTTGCACAACAGCCTCCTGGTGCAGGTCCAGGTCCAGGTCCAGGTTTTACATGGACACAATTAAGTGCTCTGGGGCTCCCATCTCCCTCATCCCTCTAGGCCTAAATAAATATCTTTTGCTTTAACTGGGGAAAAAAAAGGAGTAAAATGACGACATTCATGCCTCCAGAGATCAGGACCAAATATTGTTGGTAGATGCCACTAAATCAAGTAAAATTCATAGTGACCCTACGAACAACAGATCTGAAAGCTGCCCTATCCCACGCTGTCCTCATAATCTCAAATATCCTTGATCCTGTTGTTTGTCATTGCATCAATCCATCTTGCTGAGGGTCTTCCTTTCCCTCTCTGACCCTCCACATTTCATCCAGGCTGTCATTTTCCAAGGACTGGCTCCTCCCAACAACCTGGCCAAAGTACATGAGACAAAACTTCACCATCTTTGCCTCTAAGGAGCATGCTTGTTGCACTTTCCCCAAGACATATTTGTTTGTTCTTCTAGTAGTCCACGGTATATTCAGTACTCTTCCCCAACACCACAACTCTAAGGCATTGATTCTTCTGTCAACTTCTGTCACTGCCCAACTTTCAGATGCACAGCAAGTAACTGAAAAGATCATGGTTTGGACCAGGTGTACCTTAGTGTTTAAATGACAAAGTTACAGCAGTTTAGAGTCATGACAGAAGATTTTCCAAGGCAACATGTCTTTTGATTTGATGGCTGGTATGGTTGTTAACTGTGGAACCAAGTAGGACAATTGCTGACCAGTTCAATCTTTTTTTCAGCCATCATGATCATATTGTCTATTAAGCCCATGATGATTCTTAATGTTTAGATGTAATGCATATTGCAGGTTGTAATCTTTGATCTTCCAGAGCAAGTATTTTAAGTCCTCCTCACTTCAAGCAAGCAAAGCTATGCCATCGGCACAAAATAGGTTATTGATGCCCCTCCTCCAATCCTGAAAACACATTCTTCTTCACAGAGTCCAGCTTTTCAAATTCTTTGCTCAGCACACAGTCTGAATAAGGACAGAGAAAGGACACAGTCCTCACACATTTCTTGATTTTAAATAATGTTTCCTTTACTCTGTGCAGACAGGAACTTCTTGGGTTAGATTTAAGGTTCAAATGAGTACAAGTAAGTGTTCTGGGATTCTTATTCTTCTCAGTGTTAGAGCATAACTAGTTACAACCCACCCAGACAATACCTTTGCATAGTCAATAAAATGTAAACAGACATCTCTCTGATATTCTCTGTTTTCAGCCAAGATTCATCTGACATTAGCAATGACATCCCTGGTACTAGAAAATGTACTGTATTAAATGCTCTAAGAGCCAATCTCTAAATCCAGCTTGAATTTATGGCTGACTCAGGGAGTGCCTTTTTTTAGTATTATTCAGTGAGATTTTACCTGCATGTGATATTAATAATAGTGTTTGATAATTCAACATTGTGTTCAATCGCCTTTATTTGGGAATGAGAAACCAGTAAGACAGGTAGCTGTCTTCCAAATTTCTTGTCAGCCTGGTCAGCACATTCAGGGCTGCATTTGTTTGCTGAAACATGTCGATTAGTATTCCATCAATTCTTGGAGTCCTATATTTTGCCAATGCCTTCAATCCAGCTTGTCCTTTTTCCTTCTTTTTCACTGTTCGTTAATCATATAATACTTCCTGATTCCATGTTAGCCAGTTGTTTTGGTACACTGACTGTGTGTTTCTTCCATCTTCTGATGCTTTCTGGATCATTCAAGATTTTTCTCATAGCATTCTTCAGTACTGCAACTCAAGGCTTGAATTTTTCTTCCAGTTTTTTCAACTTGAGTAATGATAAGCAGATTTTTCTCTCTTGATTTTCTAACGCAGCTTTTAAAATATTTTGTTGTAGTACTTAGCTTTGTCTTTGTGAGCTGCCCTCTGAAATCTTCTTGTCATCTCTTGTACTCTGCCGTTTCTTCCTTTTGTTTTGGCTTCTTAACACTGTAGTGGAATTTCAGAGTGTCTTCTGACATCCATTTTAGTTTTTTCCTCCTTCTCTGTCTTTATAATCACCTTTTACTTTCTGATCAAAGGTAATAAGGTCTGCATAATAAGGGTATCAGCTGAAAATCATTGTCATAAATTACATACTCTTAAAATATGCCTCCAGTCAGTCAACCAAATAAGCATTGTTATAACCAGAGAAAAAAGCTTTCATTTTACCCTTTTGTAATGTGAAGAAAGGAAAAATGCTATGGAGTGCTGTTTATTGAAAAGTAAAACAAACAACAACAAAAAGAACCTTCGAATAAAGAAAAAAATTACATAAACAGAAATAAATGTGAAGGGGGAAAATATCAATCTAAATATAGTAGAATTTATCCTGTCGCCTTGTATATAGTATTATACAGTCCGCTTACATAACCACTGTGTGCCAGACACAGTCAGCCCTTTGTGCATGTATGACCTCATTTCACCCTTACATAATCACTGCAGGAAAAAGAAGATCCCAGAGGTGAAAACTATACATTCAGTCCAGACAGCACTTATGGGCAAAATCCCTCCCATTG